AGAAGTGATAAAAATTTTATCACAGCTTTTTGGAGTCAGGTTGAACACATGAAGTTGTATAGACATATTTCTAGTGGACAAGCAAACATGAATTATTCAAACCCAATCATGAGACCCCCTTAGACCCTTTCAAACTTTTTAGATTATGACCCATGTAAGCAATTTATTTTACATTGGGATCCATCATACACACACATACATTATACATATGCATACACAACTGGAAGAAAGATTTGCTAAAGAATTTACACTTAATACATGCAATTAGCTCTGATTTTTCTCTTTATTCAGTAAAAAATATACTGGACATGATTCAGTTAAATGACTTTTTTTAAATTTGTTTTTACAATTCCAGTTCACACATCATTGCCTGGAAGCCAGTGTAGTTCAAATCCAATACTGTGTTAGGGTCAGTCACACAATGATTGGTCTTCGGCATTTACAGATCCCAGAATAGATAGATAAAACTAATTGAGAATCTTCTGCTTGGACAATTAGGGATTAACTTCAGCTGAGGCATTAAGGGACATCTTGTCTTTGAATTCACACATGAACAACAAGACTTACTAAATATTTCATCTTCCTCTGGCCAGAAGACAGTTGCTAATGACTGACAGTTATTGAATCCTAACTTCCAAGTCTTGATTTCTGGGTATCGATTAGATTAGCCAGAAGAGTTCCTGATGGACACTCACAGCCAATGGAAGCAGCACATCATCCTCGGTGTTATCAGAAAGGAATCCTATGCTACACATAGCAACAGACAAGGAAAGGAGTCAGTGTTGGACTATGGATACAGATAATCACTGGCAATCCCTGGCATTTTCTCTCCTTTGTGGAGTACTGCAGTGATTTGGCTCAGTGAAAAATGATGGGAAAAGGTTTGTGTATGTGTGTTCAAGGCTTTATTCTTTCCTGTGGCCCCTAAGGAGAATTTTGTCTTTATCTTCTCAGGCTTTTCTATCTACATTTATTTTCTCTACCAACAGGAATTCTTGTCATCTTGCCCAACCACACAATGGAGTGCACTAGATAATGCTGGAGAGTTGCATCTTTACTTGATTAGCTCCAGACTATGTCTCCATCAGGGTAGTAGCTGGACTTGCACTGGAAATACTAGTGAGAGAAAACCATTGCCCTCATGATTATAATTGGAGAGGGAAAGGGGCTAGAGACTAGGTAAAGATTCTGCATTTGGTGGATTGGGAAAATGTGCTTTGGAGGTTATTTTGAGTGGAAAAGAGAACTTTGGGGAAACTCAACCCTGCTTATGAGGGTGAGAAAAAGACGAAGGAATTTTGTGATATATTGTCCTACATTTAAAAAATAACTATAATGTTTTCTTCAGAAATTGCATTAAGGATTTAAATTGTTTTCAATCATATTTTTGTAACCAAATTGTTGTATGGGGTCGTTGAAGCATAGTTACTTTTTGGTAGTAGTAGTAGTAGTAGTAGTAATAATAATACTTATTATTATTACTATGAGAATACTGTATGCCAGGAGTTATCTGAAAAATGACAGCAGTTAAATACAAACTGAAAATTGAAAGGGTTAAAATCTCATGTAGTTCATTTTTCCAGTACTATGTGATTCCTGGAATTGCTCTTTAATCCATCTTTGTGTCTCAACTCATATATTGACATGATGGCCAAGGGAGGGATTTAGAATATTAATAAACCTAAATATAGCATATTTTAAATTCAAGAAAGCTAAATTCACTTATTGAAAATTCATTTTTAAATATGAGTCATTTCACTTTTCTCATTTTTAGGAATGTAATTCAAAGTTAAAGGAAGTATAGAGTAGTACTCAGTAATGCTTGGAAAAGATTAACTCTCAAAGCTTAAAGCAACAAACAGATAGCCATGAGGATTTAGATGTATTTCAATTTTACAAAGTTTTCTTTTTAATCCTTCAGTAGTTAATGGTGCTATATATTGGACATATTTTACTGTTTACCAGCTCCATCAGAAAATAGACAAGACAGAGAATATGAATGGATATCACTATTCCTTGTGGATTATATTTGACATGATCTACTTTGGTTTTTTGAATACTCAGTTTTATTTATTTCTGCTGAAAAATGAAAATCTTTATTTTGTCTTTTTTATCTGATTTATAACACTATTGAATTCATAAATTACACTCAATCCAATGTAATTCTTTGTTTGTCTTTCAATTTAAAAATACCAACCAAAACAGAAACAATGACTGTTAGAAAAAAAGTGAGTCAGACACAGCTTTCCCTGTAATATAAGGCAAAAATGGAAAGCTCTTACTTTATACATGTATCAGCCAGCCAAAGAGAATCAGGTTCCACAGTATCTATTGGTTTGTTGGATATCAATGTCTAGTTCAATATTAATATTTTGTTTTTAGTCGTAACACTTTAATATAGCAAAAAATGTCATGTGACACACAGTCATAAACCTTTCTCCGGTGCCATATATTGAAACGAAAGTATTTCAATTGTGTGTTGGGTTGGTGGGGAGAATTTTGCCTCTATCTTTGAGGCATTCTATGATAATTTTGCTCAAAGCCTATTTCAAAGACTCCCTACATTAATCACTTCTTAGAAAAATATCCTCAATCCTACCCCTAGTTCTGCTGATGAAGAATCTTTAAGAGTTAGGACATAGAAACTACATTTTTAAAAAGTACCTCTTGAGTTAGAAATACTGAACTGTGTTTGAGAGTAAATCTATATCCCATAAAAATCTCTACCTTAATATTTTATGTAACTAGAATTAACAATCAAGAATGTTACAATTAGTAATAGATAATTTACAATTAATATTAAATAGAATTTCAGTTCTTTAATTCAATTTTAAATATTAATATCAATATTTTAAGAAATATTAAATATTTTATCAATTCAGAAATATGTGCTAAAATTTAAATATTTAATAGTAATTGGGAATCTAATTAGTTAAAAATGCAGTATTATATATAACATATGATATTTTTAATATTTACTAATGTTTAATAGTATAGTGATACATCTTCCAAAGTATGTTAGTGTTTAATATTCTTTACGTAAGATTTGTGCCAAGGAATTTATTTTTAAACAAACAATAAAGTTCATAAGATATTATGGGGTGAAAGGAGACTTAGGGATCAGCTAGCCCAAAACTTCCCCCTTAATGATGAGAAAATAGGAGCCCAGGGAGGCAGCTGATCTAGGACCAACTCTTAGCTCCCCAGGGATTTTTCCATTACACTGCATGTCATCCTGATTGGTTATGCGTGTACCTTTCAAATCAGGAAGAAGTTGGTGGGGAAGAGCGTAGACTGTGAAATCAGATCTTGACTTCAAGCCTGATCTATTTTTGTAACATTAGAAAAGTTAATTACCTGTGTCTTAGTTCCTCAACATCCATCATTGGATGGGAATAAATGATGCCAGATACAGAATTTCATGTGCCTGACATTTTATTGCTGTCTGCCTTAAATATATGTACATATATTTATATTTTGAATTAATAATATTTTTAATAGGCAATGCATTCAAATAGTTAAAAAATCAAAGTAGTTTGAAAAGCTATACAGTGAGAAGCTCCCTAGATTGTCTCTAGTAGTCTCCTCCTTAACTGTAGATAACCACATTTATTTGTGTGTATGTGCCTGCTTCAAGATTTTCTTTATGTAAACACTATAGCAAGTAAATTAATATACATTATTTTTTCCCTCCTTACATTAATGATGGCCACACACTGTTTTATATATTTTTTTGTTTTAACTAAACATTATGTCTTGGAGGTAACTTCAGTTCAAAATACAGAGAATACTTTCATTTCATTTTATAGCAGAATCATAATAATAGTTAACATTTTTATGGTAATTATCATGCATGAGACACTATTTTAAATGTAAATATATTAAGACATATATAATGCAATATTCTTCAAAATCACACTAGAAAATGCATACTTATTAATCCCCATTTATAGATGCAGAAGGCATGTTTATAAATTTTGCCCCAAGTCTCACAAATATTGATGAGTAAAGCAGGGACTTGAACCTGTTAGTCTTAAAATTTTTGTTCTTAAAAACTTACACTCTAATGCATCTCAGCTTCATAATATACCATTCTATAGATCAACCATAATTTGCTTATTAGGCACTGTACTTATGTTGTTTCCAAACTTTCCTTTTTATTACAACTGATGTTGCAGAAAAATATAGCCAGAAAATTGTAGATGGACAGAAAAAGATATCCGAGTGTATCTATAGGATAAATTACTAGATATCAAATTACTGGGTGAAAATGTAAATACCTTGGTAACTTTGATGATTACCAAAAATTTGTTACCAAATTATCCTCTTTAGTGATCTTTAATGTGAAATTCTTCCAGCAATGTATAAGAGTCTTCCCACAGCCCTGCTAGTAGAGTACATTGTCAGACATTTAGTTTTACCCTCGATTTTTCTTATTAGGCATTAGGTTGAGTATTTTTCCACTTTTTTCAAGACCAATTTGTATTTCTTTTTCTATTCATAACCCTTGCCTACTTTTACATATTGGGCTATTTTGATCTTTTTCTTAAATACCTATGAGTTCTTATTCAGGAGACTGACCTTTTGAATGCAGTGTGATCTGAAATTTTTTTCAGATTTTTGTGTTTCAAAATAGACTTTTCTTTCAGTAGTTTTAGATTTACAGAAAAATTGAGAAGATTGTTCAGATTTCTCAGATATCTTGCACCAATTTCTCTTATTAATATTTTTCATTAATAAGGTACATTTATTATAGTTAATGAATGATATAGATCTATTACTATTAATGAAAAGCTTGTATTTTTCAGGTTTCCTTAGTTTTTACCTAATGTGTTTTGTTCTTTCATTCTTTCTTTTTTCAGTTTTCTATTTTAGGATACCATCCAAGCTCCCACATTACATTCAGTCATCAGGTGTCCTTATTCTCTTTTTAACTTTAGTCTGCTATAACAAAACACCAGAGACTGAGTGACTTAACCAAAGTACATTTATTTCTCACAGTTCTGGAGGCTACAGGTCCAAGAGAAGGATGCCACGGCAATGCAGTTCTTGGTGAGAGCCTTTGTCCTGGTTATATCTTTACACGGCCTTGCCCTGGTGCATGCACCCTAAGACAGATCTCTTGTCTCTTTTTCTTTTTTTAAAGGGCATTTGTCCCATCATGGGGGCTCCACCCTGCTAATTGCATCTGAAAGTAATTGCCTCTCAAAGGTCCAACCTCTGAATACTATCACATTGGGGATTAGGTCTTCACCAGATGCACTTTGGGGGACACAGTCAATAGCGGGCTCTCCCTGACTATGAATTTCTGTCAGATTTTCCTATTCCTTGTTTTGTCAATGTTGACAGTTCTGAGGAATATGGTGAGTTGTTTGTAGAATGTCCCTCCATTGACCTTTACTAATTCTTTTCTTTTTTTTTACACAGTGAAGCTAGGTTATGGCCTTTTGGAGGAAGACAACAGAGGTAAAGTACCATTTTCATTAAATCATGTCAAGAGTATATACTGTTGCATGATTTATCACTGTTGTTGTCCTTGGTCACCTAGTAGAGGTAGTGTTTGTAGGTTTTTCCATTGTAAAGTTATTCTCCCACCCCATCCCCTTACCAGACTGTATTCTTGGGAATAAATCCACTATGCCCAGCCCATATTTAAGCATGGATTTATGCTCCCCCTACTTGAGGGGGTGGTATCTACATAAATTACTTGGAATTGTTCTGCATGAAGATGTATTTTTTATCCTCTCTTTATATTCTTTGATTTATATCAGTATGGGATCAGATGTTTTAAATTTACTTTTGTGTTATTAGCACCACGCTCTAACCAACTGAGCTAACCGGCCACTTCAAGTTACTTTTGTGTTATAATCCAATACTACTTTATATATTGTGTTCAAAAAAGCTTTGTCTATTGGAAGCTCTTTCAGTTGTTTCCTGTGTCTTTTTGACATAACCCCAGCAAACTCTGGTTTGTGTATTTACTGCGCCAGTCCTAGAATCAGCCATTTGTTCAAAGAATCTTGGTTCCTGTTACTGTAGAATGATATTAGAAACCAAGATCCAGGCACTATGTGTGCTTGTTGCCTTCAGGCCTTCTCGGCTGACAGAGCAAGGAAATATGTGTGTGTAAACTACCTTGTGTGTTTTGTGTGTGTAATTTCTATATGTAACCATATTTATCCATATTAATTAAACATGAGTTCATGTGGCTGTCTCCAGCTCAAATCCCTTAACCACATGGATCATTCAAGTCCACTCCTTTGATTAGTTATAATATCCATTCCAACAGTGGAAAACTTGGCTCTCATAATCTGCTATCCTACTTAAATATTAAATTCCAGTGTATGTACAGAAGGTCCAAAATTGTTAACTATTACTGAAATACAATGTTTATGGCCATCCGTTTGCCTTTGGTTTTACAGACTCACCTCTCCAGAGTTACTTATGTCAATACTTTTTCTCCTCCTCTAATGAGGTTGTTTCATACAGTTAAATTGTTTGTAATACAGTTAAATTCTCTTGTCATAGTCTGCCTTCCTTGCTGGGGTTTCCCACTCCTAATTTTTTTTAATGTGCGTACATTAAAGTTCATCTTTGTGATTTAAAGTCTGATGGATTTTGACAAATATGGAATGTTATATCCAACATTACAATATTATACAGAATGTTATCACTGACTAAAAAAATTCCATGTTCTTTTTACTGTCTCTATAGTTTTGATTTTCCAGAAAATCATATAATTGGATTCATATAGTATATAGCTTTTGTAGACTAGCTTCTTTCATTTAATAATATGAATTTAAGGACTCTCCATGTTTTTTCATGGACTTAGTTCTATTTTATTGTTGAATAACATTCCGTTTTATGAATGTACCATCATCTGTTTATTTCCCTATTAAAGGATATCTTGGTTGATTCCAGTTTTTGGTAACTATAAATAAAGTTATAAACATTTGTGAGTAGGTTTTTATGTAGACATAAATGTTCAATAATTTAGGTAAATAACTAGGAGAATGATTGGTGAGTCATGTGGCAGTGTTTTCTAAGAAACTGTCAAACTCTCTTCCAAAGTGGCTATATGATTTGTGTTCGCATTAGCAATGGAGTTGCTCCAAAACCTCATTAGCATTTGATATTGTCAAAGTTTTGTATTTTAGCAATTCTAATAAGTAGTTATGTCTGACTGTTGTACTTTACAATTTCTTAAGCACAAATGATGTTGAACATCTTTTCACATGTTTATTTGCCATTGCTGTATCTTCTTTGAGAAAGTGTCTGTTTAGATCTTTTTTGCTCACTTTTTTTAAAGTTGGATTATTGGTTTTATAGCTGAATTTTAAGGTTGTTCATGTTTTAGATAATAGTCCTTTTCATCAGATATGTATTTTGTAGATATTTTCTCCCAGTCTGAGGCTTTTCTTTTCATTCCCTTAACAAAGTCCTTAACAGAGCAGTTTTTAAAGTCATTAAATGAATTAAGTTAATCAATCTTATTAAAGTCTAATCTACCAAATTTTCTTTTGTGGATCATGCTTTTTGTGATGTAGATGAAAACATCATCAAACCCATGGTCACCTTGATTTTCTCCTGTGTTTTCTTCTAGAAGTTGTTTCATTTTACATTTTACAGTTAGGTTTATAATTATTTTGAGTTGATTAAGTTTTTAGCATTTCTTTTGGATTCCTTCTTAGCATTTCAACATACAGTTAGCATTTGGAAATAATATAAATATTACATCTTCTATTCCAGTTTTATAACTTTAATCTTTCTCTTATTTAGTTTCTTTGGCTAATACCCACAGAACCATGCTAAATTGTAGTAATGCCTATGAGCACCCTTGCATTATATGGAGAAGTAATGTTAAAGATATACCCACTGATTCCTATTTTACTCAATATTTTAGTAAGAGTAGCTATTTAGTTTTGTCAAGTTCCTTTTTACCATTAATAGAGATAATAATAGGATTTTTATTCTTTTGGTATCTATTAATCTGATGAATTACTTTAATAGATTTTATAATAGTGGAGCAATCTTGCATTACAGATAAAAACTGCTTAGTTATGATAATAAATGTTTTAGTGTGCTTCTGGATAATATTTGGGAAATTTACATTAATATTCATAAGTGAGATTCATCTGTCATTTTCTTTTGTGTGCTCTGCAAGTTTTTACTTGATGGTGCTTTTTGATGAACATATTTTTTAAATTTCATGGATTTTATCAAATTTGGGGTTTATCTTTGTATATGTGTGTGTTGTATTTAATTAAGTTTTACACATTTCAAAGTTTCAAAGATATATTACTATGCTTTCTTCCAGAAACTTTATTGCTTTATTGCTTTCATTTTAACATGTAGTCTATGCTCCATTTCAAATTAATTTTTTGTATAAAGTGCAGTATGTGTTGATGTATAATGATGAGACATATATATATACACACACACACATATGCATATTGGTTTCTGTTCCCATTTCCTAACACAGGGCTCCTAAAATCCTGTAATTTTCTAAGTAATAAGAATACTAGGAGCATCTGTTATCCTAATATTTGGTCTTTCACCCTGCCTCTTACACAGGGCTCCTTAAACCCTTGTAAATTTCTAAGTGATAAGAGCACTAGGAGCATCTTTTTTTCTAATGAGGCGACTGAGTGGGTCTTGGGTAGCTCCTGGATGGGGGCCGGTCACCAGAAAAACTAAGCCATGATTAGAAGTTTGGAATTTTCATCCACCATTGAGGGAAGAGTAACTGGAAATGGAGTTAATAATGACCATGCCTTCCTGAGGAAGCCTCCATAAAATCCAGTAGTCTGAGGTTCAGACAGCCTCCAGGCTGGTAAGCACAACCGCACTGGGATGGTGACACACCCCAGCTCTACAGGGCCAGAAGCTCCTGCACTCAGAACCCTCCCGGACCTCACTGTCTATGTATCTCTTCTTCATATCCTTTAATAAACTGCTAAATGTAACTGAGTGGCTGCTCTAGCAAATTAATCAAACCTGACGAGGGAGTCATCGGAACTTCTGATCTATAACCAGTTGGTCAGAAGCCCAGGTGATAACCTGGGCTTGTGACTGGCATCTGAAGTGGGGATAGTGGGGGCAGTCTGTGGGACTAAACTTAGCCTACCTGTGGGATCAGATCCTCTCTCTCGGTAGGTCATGTCAGAATTGAGTTAATGGTAGATATCCAGCTGGTGGTGGAGTGTTGCCTGTTGTTGTGGAGGAAAACCCCCACACATGTGCTCACATTTGGTGACCAGAAATGTCAAAAGTGAAGTGCTTTGAATGAGTAATAAAAGAAGGACACAGGAGATAGACTAAACTGAGTTTTTTTTCCTGCAACAGGACAGAGAGACATATTATTTCATTTTAGTTGATGTTAATTTTTTTCCCATACAGGTATCCAGTAGGTCCAGTTCCATTTATTGAGAATATTTTCCTCTCAACATGGAAATATCTTGGAGCCCTTGTCAAATTGCCTAGCTTTATATATACAGGTCTATTTCTGGACTTGTTTTTCTGTTCCTTTTCTGAGTTTGTCTATCCTCACACCAGTACCAAAATATCTTCTTTTCTATTTAATGTTGCTTTGAAGTCATGTTAATACAAGTCCTCCAACATTATTCTGTTTTCCCAAGATTATTTCAGCTGTTGTAGATCCTTTGAATTTCCGTATAAATTTTAGAATCAGCTTGTCACTTTTTCACCAGAAAGGAAAAAAAAAGCTATTAAGATTTAGAGTGAGATTTCATTGAGTCTGTGGATTAACTTGGGGAGAATGAACATCTAACAATACTGACTCTTGAAATCTACGATCATAGTATGATCAGCCATAAGAAGAAAACAAATCCTACCTGGTTTTGATTGTTAAATCTTTGTCTAACTGCTATTACATTGATTTCTAACTTTTTCATGTTATCAATTTTAGTAAATAGTATTTTTTAAATGTTTGTATTCCAATTTTGTGTTGTTTACATATAAAAATACAACTTGTTTCTTAATATTGAACTTGTATCCTTAAACCCTGATAAATTCACTTATTTTACATACCTTAGGATTTTTTATGTATGTCACTCATCTCTGAATAAAACATTGTATTTCTTCTTTCCCAAATTTGATAACTTTTTTTTGCCTTGTTGCATTGACTAGGAACTCCAGTTCAATACTGAATAGAAGAGGTGAGAGTGATATTTTGTCTTGTTTTCAATCTTCAGAAAAGTATAAAATATTTTATCTGTAACTATGATGTTAGCTGTAGGTTTGTCAGAGTTTCATCTTAGATTGAGTAAGTTTCATTCTATTCCTAATTTTCTAAAGACTTTTTTAACATCATGTATGAATGCTAAATTTTGTCAGTTCCCTTTTATGCTTGTATTTAGATCATCATATGATTTTTCATTTTTATTTCCATAATGTGAATTGCACTAGTTGTTATCCAAGTTCTGAACCAATCTTTGATCCCTCAT